GCGTAAGCGAGTAAAAATGTAATAAAAAAATTCGTTGATTATGATTTTATGATCGCTATGAAATTAAAGCTTTTGATTAATTCTTACGATGTTTCAAAAAGTATCGAGAACGTTTGACAATCCTTGAAATAAATTTTAATAAAAAAAAGGAATAAAAGTGATTTTATCGACTGAGATTCGATATAAATTTTTTCAAATTACTTACTTACTTTTTTGTATATCGCAATTTTATATGTATCTCGTGCTACTTTTCTCTCTCTTTTTCTCCTTCTCTTCATCTCTCTCTCTCTCTCTTCCCGTTTTCTTTTTCTTCTCGTTCTCGACCATTCCCTTACCAGAANATGCATTAATCGTCAGATACAATTATTATCTTCATTTTTTTTTCATTTTTTCTAGAATTCATACAGATTTAATGCAAAAAGAAAAAAAATAAAAAAAGAATAAATAAAATTTAAAATTCCGTGTTTCTTAAATAAAACACGATATTCTTACAACCTTTTCTCAAACGATGTCAACATTTGTCTGTTAGAATATTATTTTTAATTATATTGTACGCGATTATATATTTTAATAATTTTACATCGAAATAATTTTTCACGAAGTTTAACGCAATATTTGATTACATAACATTGTGCGTATTACCATGATAAATCATTGTAAAAATTGCACGCGTTAACTTTAATGTATACGTGCAAATAAATAAGTATATGTCTTAACTGGTGTCATCGCCGATGACAGTTACTAAATTACTATTGATTTCAGATTCATTTCGACGTAGTTCTTCGACGCCAACGTGTAAATACATTTTTAAATCTCACGTTTTTCAACACAAACAAAATCGGATTCGCCATTATTATCTATTTCACGAAACTGTGCATACGTTTACACGAACTTCTTCCTACTTTTAACTACAGAATGAAAAATATTTTGTAAAGTATTTTTCTCGGTCCTTTTTTTTTTTTTTTTTTTTTTTTTTTTTTGGTATATGAAAACTTTTTTAAGCGTATCAAAGCTCGAAGAAAGATGGAACAGTTCGACCTAAAAAAAAAAAGTACGATTTCTATAAAACCCGTCAATTTACCACGAAATCTCCCCCACTAGGTCCCCATAAATGCACAATGGGACGCATTGTATTCCTAATAACGGAATCGGCCTCCACCCATTGTTCAGGAAACATAAAAGGTTTCTGGAAATGTGCGATCTACGAACACACGTTTCTCTGTCGGCCGTTACAGTCGCATCTTTTATTATCGAAATAAATTTCAACACGAAAATTCAATTAAAATGATTTTTAACATTTTTCTTAGACAACGAAATATTAACTATATATATATATATATTTTCTATTAAAATTTAGAGAAAAAGAAACGGATCACTTTAGAAAAAAAAATATATATATTTATAAATAAAAGTTATTAAACGATCGATAAATGAATAAACGCGAAAAAAATTGATGAGCGGATACGAATGGTCGCGTGAAAGAAACGTCACATGATCTACTAGGATATAGGTTTCAAACTTATGACTCACGGCCAGGTGTTACTCTTTTGGACTACGTGCATCATCGATAGGCAATAATTTTTTTGACGGTTAGAATTCTAATAAAATGCAGGATGGAAATATATTCCGTGTAAATTATACATATATTTCTTTATCTCTTTTTATAATCGCTTTCGTAATCGTTAAAAATAAAAGCAACGAAAAACTTAAAAAAAGAAACGATTTCCTTATCAAGATTGAAACATAAATTAATCATATATTCGTATAAATATATGCATTTAAAAATAATTCTAATGTAAGCTTTTTAAAATTGCTTATATCGTTATTATTTACATAACACGAACGTTGCGTTAATCAGTTTTAATCAGTTATCCAGCTGTTACTTATTGCTCGTGTTAAGATACACAGTATGCATAACAACAAGTTTTATCGTTTAAAAAACTCGTTTGAAACTCGTTTTATCGTAAAAATGATGTATATAAAAGAAAAAAAAGTTTGGTAATTAAATTTTTATTAAAGATTTGACGAACGTTGAAAAATATTCTTCTGTTAAAGTTTATTTTTAGAAATGTATATTGACAGACAAAAAAAAAAAAAAAAAAAAATTTTCTTAAAGATAAATAGAAGCAGAATTTCTTGAAAAGAAGATTAAGTTTACAGATAAGATTTCACCGTTTCCAATGAAAATGTCTAAAAAATAAATGGCCTCGGAGGATATTGGAATCTAGAGTGAATCGGAAAGTTTTTGCAAAATGTTTGAAAAGGAGGTGGGACGAAGGGAGTGTAGCGTATTTTGTTAAGAGAAACTCGTATTGTACGACCAGCTGGATTCTTACGGATTTATTCTTGGAATTGAACAAGAATAACGTGTCTTAGGTACGCGTGGCTCTTTCTCTTTCTCTCTTCGTTTCGCTCGCTCGCTCGCTCGTTCACTCGCTTTCTTTCTCTACTTTTCTCTCTCTTTTTCTCCTTTTCTTCATCTCTCTCTCTCTCTCTCTTCCCGTTTTCTTTTTCTTCTCGTTCTCGACCATTCCCTTACCAGAA